GGTTCACAAAACAAAATCTGGTAACTAAATTTATAACTGCTGTGATGATATAAAATTGAAAACTGATTTTTCTGAAACTATGCACTGATAACTGATTTTGGGAATACTGTAAACTTTATGCTGATGACTGAACTTTAAATTGGATACTGTAGCTTTTACTGATACTGAAAATTATAAGTTGATATCTTATTTCGAAACTGTTGCTAATACTCAAAGCTCTCTTAATAAATATTCTGAAAACCCATATTGAGACTATCACTCATAACTGATACTAAAAACTGAATGTGATTTTGAACATTCTAAAACTGATTATGATGTTAATAACAGAAAACTCTCACCGCAACTAGTACCCTCGGGGAAATCTGTCTTACCTGGTGGGCTTCCCGCACGCAAGCAAAGCAAGGGATGTACCTGTCATACCCTGCAAGATCTATCATCGCGCGGGCAGAGCTACTGAAACTGTCATACCTGGCGGACCACTCAACGCCCAGGCAGAGCCAATAAAATCTGTCATACCTGGCGGACCACTCAACGCCCAGGCAGAGCCAATAAAATCTGTCATACGCATGCGCAGAGCCAAAATCTGAAACTGTCATACCCGGCGGGATCCTGCATCGCTCGGGCAGAGCCAAAAATCTGTATCTCTGGGGGATGGGTACTTTGTAGGGTGGTTTTAGCACCATAACAATCTCATGCATAATCTCAAGTAACATGTAAGTCAAGAGCATATTTCAACAATCTCATGCATAATCTCAAGTAACATATATAAGTCAAGAACATACCACATATGTGCTTATAAATCATGCATATATGACAAAATATTCAAAAATCACATCCAGGGGTGAAACTGAAAATTTCCAAACATGTTTTAAAACTGACAGTTTAACCCAGATTAAAAATTACTTTCAACATCACATTACCATAGCATATGTCCGACACTAACCACATTTCATATAAAAGCAATCATGCCAAAACGTATGAAATTCCATGCAAAATGGGGGTAGAATGCAAGTTTTAAAACTTACTTTCAAAACTGACGAATGCACCCCTTCTCTTTTCTTTTTTACCAAGAAACCATTTACCAACATCACGAACCTCAACCCGTATACAATTCAACCAATTCTCTACTCTTAACAGCAACATTTTATTCATATAGCATGAACACATATAAATTCTATATACCAAACTTCATCAAAACATTTAAAATTAAATCACAAGTTAACATGCAAGCATGGATTTAAGGATTTGGAAGAAGATTTGGTTTAATCCACTCACCAAATCAAGCTGTAATTTCAATGGGGCATTCAAGACAAAAATATGTTGATCCAGTAATATTTTCAAGTCATTTCAGAGTCAATAACTATTTAAAACACAATTTTCTTTCAACTCATTTAAATCTGCCAACTGTTTCCAGAATTGAGGTTACTGACTTGTAAAATTCATAACAATTCAGCCCTTAATCTAAACCTCATGAAACTCTCCAGAATTAAACTAGGCACATATAGGATTCACCAGAATTTAAAATCACTCAATTTGGATAAGTATAAGTGCATTATTTCAGTTCTGAAAAATGCATGCTCTACAGAAAACATGAAATTCCAGAATTTCATAGCAGAATTCAAAATTCATTAAAAAATCCAATACTTCGAATTTTGGGGTGAAATCAATTTTCAACCAATCTCTAATAAGTCTAAAACAAAATATCTGAAATTTAGCTTCATTTGCAAACCCGAAACATATATAAAATTTTCGGAAGTTCGGACTGTCAGAATTTCACAGCATAACTTTTTATAACCAAAAACATACCTTTATAACTCTTGGTTCTTTAGGATCAACATATATGCTCTACCCGTATAAAATTGTTGCATTAAATCTCCAATTTCAGTTAACCACAATAGTCAGCCACCATATCCAACATACAACTTCCCATAATTTCTTTTCTATTCGCAAACATTATGTATATGCATAAAATGCACACATGCATGCCAAGTTCAGCATTTCTAATTCTGCCCATTTTATAACCTTTCTCCATCTACTCTTCAAATCAACAACATCCACAACTCATCTCTATGGTACAAACAATATTCCAAATAATCAACTTACACATAACTTTTAAATGCGTGAAACAATAAACATCAAGTACCATGCAACTTGAAAAATGCAAACTTTAGAAAAGGATTCAATGCATTTTCCACTTACAAAAATTTCCAGATTTCATCAAGACATGGTGCTAGAATCGAAACTGGACATGCAGCACTTTAAAGTCAGCTCAGCCGACACATGCAAGGCAGATTTAACAAGATATCACACCAAAATTTGGATCAAACACTATAATAGAAATCAACACTTTACATGCAAACAGGAATTGAGTTTTTAAAAGAGTTTTTGGCTGGTCCACTCACCATTTTGAGGCTAAGCCGAAAGTGCAAAGACAACCTCAAGATTCCCCTACCTCCACACCTAACGCCCAAAAGACAAGAAATTTATCTAAGCCAAGGTCTAAATTTAAGAAAGAAGGAAGAGATCCATCGATCCAATCACATGCATACTTACTAAAAGACAAAAGCAAACCACCTCTCTCAATTTTTTTGTTTTTCCCTTCTTCCTCCTCCTTCTTTTTCTTCTCTTCCTCTCTCACTCTATCACTCTTTCTTCTCTTCTCTCTCTCTCTTCCTTTCTCTTTTTCTTTTCTTTCTCTCGGTTTTTCTTCTCTCATCTTTCTTCTTCTTCATTTTTGGGCCAAAATCAGCCCCTTCTCTTTCTTTTTTATATTTTTAATCTTTCTAAATTTATGCTTCTGCCCCTAGATTACAGGTAATCCCGCTAAACCCCTACCACATCAGCTTTTCTTTCAAATAAACCTCCAGATTTTGCCCATTGTTACATGCAAACCCAGCAGCTTCATTTTCTTGCAAATTTCATTCCCAATAAAACTTTTAAAAACTAACAGAAATCCCCTTCTATAAAAATAAAATCACACAGAGTATATAATATGTATTAGGAATATTAAAAACGGGGTTTCACATTGAGAATGGTCAAATGAATATCAATAAACATCAACCTCAGGTTCCTGAATTACCCTTAAGAATCATTCTTGGACAAAGCAAAGCAACGAACATTCTCTTCAGGGTTGCTCGTACGAATGGTGGTTGCCATAGTTGAGGTGGCATCTGGGAGTTGATGAATGACCAATGGTTGGAGAAAAGCCCCGAGTCATTTTCCAAATTTTAGGACTAAAAACTGTGTAAAGTTTATTCATACCTCAACCTTTGAATTATTGATGAGTAAAAATTTCAATGGTTATTTTTATTAGTATATGAAAAAGAATTCGAACTCAAGATCTTTTGAGTAATACATCCAAAAATTTTTATCAAACCATTCGATGATCCAGAAGTAATTAACTTAATTATTTAAGAATATTTTAAATAATAATTAACTAAATAACGCAAGTTTAGGTGAATATATGTTTGTGTACTTTTGACTGAAAACTTGAAGGCTTCTGAATTCTTTGATCTCTGAATTCCATCAATCTAGCATAAATTTCTTTCAATTATTTCTTATAATTCAAGTAATTAATTTGGCTTTAAGTTCGGGCTGATGTGAATATTGCAAATTTGTATTGATTTGGGAGTCTCGTCTTCAATCATGTTAGCTAGCTATCATCTTCCTCCAACGCTCCAACCTTTTGAACCAGTCCTCCTCCTTAAAATCTTCTGGATGATTGGATTTACCTCATTTTCAGTATTTATTATTTTCTCTATCAAGAGAAAACCAGTGCAGAAAATTAATTAGTCTTGTTGAGCTATTGAATGCATATGACTTAAACAAGTTGAACCTGGAGTATTCTGTTCAGCTAGCTTTCATCATCTTTTTATTTATTCTTATTTTCTACTTCACAAAACTTAATGATAAACACCTTCAACCTGGTACATTTATGTGTGCATGAAATAATTTAATTAAACTCCTTTTCTTGTATTATCATATCAAAAATAGTTTCAAAACTCACCAGCTAGCCCAAAAATTATATTGAATATCACTCTTTGTCTCAATGTCATATTATCCTCCGGCATCTCCATCTCCATATTCTTCACCGACACCACCAGATGAAACACCACCACCGCCACCCGATGATACACCACCGCCAACCGATGATACAGCAAAGCCAACCGATGATAGCGATGATAGCGATGATACACCACCATCGCCACCACCAGCTGAAACAACACCACCGCCACCGGATGATACACCACCATCGCCATATGCTCCACCGCTACCACCAGATGAAACAACACCACCGCCACCCGATGAAACACAACCATCGCCAGAAGCTCCTGGCCCTCCTCCAGGTACCATGCCTGTAACAACGTTGGTTGTAGTAATTGTGGTTGCCGTTGCAGCACTTGGTTTGATTGTTGCTTTAAGCATTTTCCTTAGAAGAAGAAGAAGAACACTAACAACAAGAAGAAGAAGCTTCCAAGACAAAGAGCTCGAGTACGGATTATGGAACTGAAGCTCCTCTACAAGGACCAAACGGTAAGCGTCTCAATTTAATTATTTATATCAATGTTTAATTAATTTTTTTAACAATGTATTTTTAAATATTAATTAAGCTTAGAAAGAAAAATTATAAAAACCAGTAATTAACATAATCTTATTCGGTGATGATCCTTCCTAGTTGATCCAATAACATTGTGTTTATATTCTCTCTATTATATCAATAATTATAGTAGTAGATATTATAAAATATATTTATTATGGAAAAGATATATATACATGATAATTATATATTCATCGTATCCAGTGTATATATACAGAATATACGTAGAATTATTGTATTTTATGAACTGCATACTGCCTCACCTCGATATAATTAAATATAAAAAAAATAATTTTCCAAATCCTTTCTGGACAAAGACAGAAGAATCAATTAAAACGACAGCGTATTCTCTCGTTGAGCTAGAATATTCAACAAAGCGCCCCGCTTTACGGGCAAACTGGGGTCCCACCAGCTTCTTCCTCGTTTCAACATGGACACTAAAGTCTAAAACACTCAATCATTAGACAAGAGGACAAAAACCTCGTGTTTATCAACAAAAAGAATTTACAGGTGATTTTGTCCGGCGATGTCTTCGTCGCCGCCGTCCCCTTCGCCTGCCGCGTCACCACCTCCGCCACCTCCCACCAACGGCACTGCTTCGCCTCCGTCTCCTTCTCCTCCCACTAACAGTACCGTTTCAGCGTCTCCACCGACCAACTCTACGTCTCCGGCGGCGAGTACTCCAACTAATGGATCGAATCCGGAGATTCCCGTCACGCTGCCGGCTCCTAATGGCCTGCCTCCTGGGGCGATTGCGGGGCTTGTGGTAGGGGTGGTGATAGGCGGTGCAATTGTTTTAGCTGCTGTGGGCATTTTCGTCCTTTTCTACAGAAGGAGAAAGCGGAAGCTTGCAGCTCAAAATCTTCCTCAACAGGGGCCCAAAAGTAATTTTACCTTATACAAATTCTAGTTGTTTATGTAAGAACTTATAATGCTGACTGTTGTTGTATAATTGAATGAAGGATCATTTAATGGTCATTAATAACTTTGTGATTTTTTATTATTTAGTAAATGCTGTTTTAATTATAGGTTTCTGGTTTGTTGAGTTCAATTTTAGGTGCTGGTTTAGAAGCTGCTGAGGTTTGAAATATTTAATTCGTTTTTGCTTTTGGTGTTTATTTGGTTTGTTTCAGCAATTTGTTTGTTTACTTCGGCTAAAATTAGAAGTACTTGAGAATAATAGAGTGGTGCTATGGAAGCATTGCTACTATCTCCTGCTTAATGGGAAGAGCTGAGTTGCTTGACCTTGATTTGTATTTGATTTTTTTTTTTTTTTTTTTTTTTTTCCAGTTGCTTTAGTTTTGCATTTATCAGTTAGGGTTTATGCTTTTGGTTGATTCATTGATGCCATTCGAATGCTGAACATGGCTTCATTTTGTATATTCTAAATTAACCTGATTTAATTTTAAATCTTTCACTTAAGTTATACTTACTGTATTGTGGCATTTAGTATAACCATGCCTGCTGATATTATTTTATGGTCTTCTAATTTTCCAGATGACTATTCTTCTCCACCAGCTGATTACAAAGGACCTATGCTGCCAAAGCCTACTCCACCCCCTGGCATTGCACCGACCCCAGTGCCTGTATCCACTGATGGCAAAACTCCTTCAGCGAGTGGCAGTTTGGGTGCTGATAAACCTTTCCCACCGCCTTCCCCAGGTGTTAGTCCTGGAAGTTTGCAGAGCACATTTACTTATGAAGAGCTAAAGATGGCAACAAACAATTTCTCTAATGCAAACATCCTTGGTCAGGGAGGATTTGGATATGTCCATAAAGGAGTCCTTCCTAATGGGAAAGTGGTAGCTATCAAACAGCTCAAAGCTGGCAGTGGACAGGGGGAGCGTGAGTTTCAGGCAGAGGTTGAGATCATTAGTCGTGTCCATCATAGACATCTTGTGACTCTGGTTGGATACTGCATTTCTGGGGCCCAGAGATTGCTTGTCTACGAGTTTGTTCCAAATAAAACCTTGGAATTTCATTTACATGGTCAGTGCTTTCTGTGATTAGGTTCTGTTGCTTTGATGAGCAAGAAATTTTTTCACAAATTCCTAATTTTCTTATCTTTCAATTTTTCATCCTTTCAAAATTCTCCTGGTGCAATATTATAGCTATACACGTTGTATGGAATTGAATTTATTAACTTAGTTTTCCTTATATGAAGTTCTTCAGAATCAAGCATAACTATTTTTACCAAAATAGAATGAAATTTATCAACTGTGATACTCTGGTCTCATCATAGTTGAATATCATTTTCAGGAGATGGAAGACCAACTATGGACTGGCCAACTAGAATGAAAATTGCTTTAGGGTCAGCCAGAGGATTGGCCTATCTGCATGAAGACTGTGAGTATTCTTTCAATACTAGTTTCTCATATTAAATTTTAAGCAAATTGTGATATTCAAGGTGTTGTTCTTGAAGATTCACTCTTTTTGAGACCAATTTATCTTCAGGTCAACCCAGGATTATACACCGTGATATAAAGTGTGCAAATATTCTTATTGACAATAGCTTTGAGGCAAAGGTACGATGATTAATAGGTTTGATGTTTTCCCATTATCATTGTAAGCTTTAAGATATATCATAAATGTGTAACAGTTTTCTCGATACTTGAACCATACCTGCAAAAATGTTCTTGCCTGGTTGAAGCGCACTGGCCGTTGCACTATTAGGTTTTATTCCCTTAAAAATTATTGGAACAAGCTCTGAAATTGAAGATAAACTTAGTTTTAGCTGCTAAGGATGTTTTTCTAAGATTCCTTAAACATTGCAAGTAGTGGACATTTTTATGGTGTGGTAAAAGCATGCTGGTTATTTCAGACTGCATGTGACTCTAGAAGTCACATTCATGTCAATGTTAGTGCTCCAATTCAAACCTGCTTTGATTGTAACATTATGACGAATGAATTTACTCGTTTCTTTCACTCAGGTGGCTGATTTTGGACTTGCTAAGTATTCTTTAGATACTGATACTCATGTCTCTACTCGAGTTATGGGAACTTTTGGGTAACATTCACTTTTTTGTTTCATTTGTCAATAACTACCTTGCTAGCTTTCACCAAATAAAATTACTTATATTGTCTTGAACCAATCCTCTCTGTCACCTCTCACGAACATTCACCAAAATGCAGTTACTTGGCTCCGGAGTATGCTGCATCTGGGAAGCTCACTGAAAAATCAGATGTCTTCTCCTTTGGGGTTCTGCTACTGGAGTTGATTACTGGGCTTCGGCCTTCTGGCAGAAATCCTTCCTTTGATGATGATAGCATGGTTGACTGGGTATGTATTCTCTTAAATGAGCTCCAGTATGTTTAACAGGACTAAATCTATTTTGTTGCAGGTCCTCTAGGAAATTCGTGGTCATAGATAGTCTGGAGAAATATTAAGGGGACAAGTCACTTATAAAACTTGGAAAATAATTAATAGTTGTGGCAGTGTTTTATTGCTGTTCATTATCAGAGATTTTGCTGATTCATTACTTTCATGGTCCATGATCAGTGGATAAATTTAGGTAATGGCCTGTTAAGGCAAAATAAGTATGAACTTTTGCAGAAAGAGATTGAGTTTCCAACTGCATGTAACTCTGATAAGCACATGCAAATTTTCACTCTAGATAAAACCTTTGATGTCTTCTTATGCAATTTGGATGCCTTGATAATTATTTGTAGATGCTGTATTTCTATATGTACTTAGGATAAAATCTTGTACAAACAATGAAGTGAAACCTTTTCTACATATTCCAGGCTGGGGTCTTTTGTCTCTTAGTTGTAAAAGTTTATTCAGGAAAAATTACTGAAACCATTATGAATTTTAGGCAAAACCTTTGCTCGCTCAAGCTTTGGAAGAGGGCAACTTTGGGCCTCTTGTTGACCCAAAGTTGAAGGAGTATGACTCCACTGAAATGGCTCGAATGGTTGCTTGTGCTGCTGCTTCTGTACGTCATTCAGCAAGGCGTCGTCCACGAATGAGCCAGGTACTTTCACAAACTGCTTTAGCTCTAATTAAATAAGTTTCTCAAGCTTCTCTCAGTATAATCAAGTTATTTTTCATTTGTTACAAAGTAACCAATTTCGGTTTCAGTCTCAATCTATTTCAAAGTCGGCAAGTTAACAAAATAATCAAATATTTGATTCCAATGACCAGTAGTTTGACAAATTGAATTTCATTAAAACCAAAACTGATTTTGGAATTGAATCGGAATATTGAACCCTATGCTGTCCTGTGACCCCTTTGCAACTCCCATATGAGCAGATAGTTCGAGCATTGGAAGGAAATATGCCTTTGGAAGATCTGAATGACGGAATCACACCGGGACACAGCTCTGTATATGGTTCATATGGAAGCTCAGAATATAACTCAATTAAATACAGGGAGGACATGAAGAAATTCAGGAAGGCGGCACTAGAAATATTAGACCTGGGTAGTAGTGAATTCAGTGGGCAGACGAGCGATGACGGTCCAAACCAATCTAGTTCAAGTACTGAAGGCCAGCAAACTACCCAAGAGATGCAACCGCAGAAAGCAGAGAAAGACACCAAGTTTGCTAATCAAAGCTCTTGACTGCTTAGCTTGGTAAATCTCATTTTTACTGGTACCCCTCCCATTTTGCATTGTTTGCGACATTTACATCCCACATATGAGAAAGTCTGAACCAATAACAAAATTGAGACATGTCTTCCATTGATTGGTGCAGCGCATAAAATCTGGAAAAGGAAGAAAATATCAGGTTGGACAAGATGAACACACTTTGTTCACACGATATCAAAGTTTTTATACCCGGAACAACTCAGCTGAAATTGAATAGCTCAAACGATTCGATAGGGAAAATTCATTGTTTCTTGATTCGCAAAACCCAATTGACGCAGGCAGATGTGGCATTTTGCGCTCTGAAATGAATAGTTGGAGAATGGGGAAAAGGCAATTTTAAAGTAGATGAATGCTAGTATTATTTGTATATGAATAGAATGTTTAAAACTGGATTAGTTCCGTTGATGAGCAATATATAAATGTGATAGAGATGATTATCTTCAGACAAATTAAATGTTGTAATGTATTACATTACATATGTACATTGTTTATGTATTGATTTGTGAAAAAAACAAAAAAAAAAAGCTAAGTTTATCGAGGGTATGCAATGATTTATCTATATCAATACATCATTTTTAAATTTACATGTATGAATAGTGGAATATTAATTAATTTTAATCTACATATAAATTTATAATATTATTTAAAGTTAATTTAATTTTATAAAATAATATCTCTTAATCTTAATAACTAATACTTTTGATCAATGTTTTAAAACTTGGCTTAGCTTGGCCGGTTTAATTGAGACTCGGAAGCTTGATGGGGTTGGATTTACATTTTTCCAATTTATCCAAAACCCTAGAATTTCGGATGATGATCAACGAACAATTGAAGGCCGGGATGTTGGGGCTTTTGAAGAGAGAGTGTCGGTGAGTGCAATGGTGGTGACGAAGTTGATTTTCGGTGAGTAAATCGACTAGAAATCAAACAAAATTGGCTGGAAGAGGGGAGTAATTTTGGGGTAGGTTGTCGACGCTGGCTTCGGTGAGATCTAGCCTGGAATGCCGATGTCGGCGTCGGTGAGATCTGGTCGAAATCACACCTATTTCAACCAAATCTTGGGTATATTTTAAGGGGAATGGACTCAAGGGACGATTGGAGTTCCATTTGGGGTGTTTCTACAACCAACTAGTTGTCGACTGATTTATATTTGGGGTGTATTTACTAAATTTCAAACCTATATGGACTTCACTGTAATTTTTAAGGGTGTATTTGCTAAATTTTAAATTTTTTTGTCATCAGGTTTGACTGCCGATCAAACCGATTAAACTGGTCAACCCGAGGCCCAACAACTTTACCGAGTTTCACCCTCGGTTGAGTTTTAAACCACTCCTTTTGATTTGACCTTTTTTCTTTCCATTCCTTACATCTCTTATTTTATTTTTTCTAAAGTTTTAAATTAAAAAGATTATTTTTCCTCTCCTTAGAAAATGTTATAATAAGTTTAATTTATCATGTGAGGATATCAAATAGGTTCAATTTATCATCTCCTTACTGATAGAGATATTTTTACTTGAACCTTACACACACACAAACATAATCCTAAGGCATAGACTATATTATGGTCATTTTGAAGATGTAGAATTCCTTCATTTTGTCATATAGGAAGATTGTCCTATAAATGGCTGCATTTGATTGGTGTTGAGTTAGATTCTTAACCCTTAATATATCAATTATTAATTTTTGTTTTCTTGCATTATAGGTACTTGACTATTATTAGACATGAGACAAGTTGTTTTAGATGTTTAATATTTTGGTAAGTGGGTGGAAGAAGAAAGTTGCTGGAAGTGGATTGGGAAGAGCAAACAAGTTAAAGCAATTGTTGTGAGTACAGAAGTTAGTTTTGATGAGTTGATTGATGAAATCATTAGAAGATGTGGGTTGAGTTACTCACGTAGTGTTATTGTTATGAAGTATGTTTTAAGCAGAGTTCTTGCAAATTTTAAGGTACCCCTTGTTGTGTTAATGTCTGATGAAAATGTGAAGTTATATATGCTTGATGTGGTCGATGATGGTTCAAGGCCCATTTTAACGATTTCAGTTGTGGATAAAACTTTGGAAGTTGGTTTAAGAGTAGGCGGTGATTTGGGTGGGGAGAATGTTGGTTTTAATTTTAACTGCGAGGGTATTGATTTGTTTGTTGAAAAATCAAGAGTTGGCGGTAATTTGGATGGTGAGGAGGACATTGTAGATGAGGTTGGTCATGTGGGGCAGAATGAAAATATGGATAAGGAGGACCCCGTACATGTTCTTGTAGATGTAGAGATTCCTATAAATATAGATTATGTAGAAAGTGTAGTTTGTGAGGAAGAGAACACTATGGTCTTTTATGTAGGTTCAGAGGCGGCAACTGCGGGTACTAGTGAATCACTTTATGTTTTTACTGATGGATCGGACTTGCGCGTAGGGTATTTATTTGACAACAAGAAGGAAGTGGGGAGGGAGTGGTGAGAAAGCTAAAACTTGTTGCCGTGAGAGGTAATTTTGAGTTCATCATCAAAAAGTCTAATTCATCTGTAGTGACGGTTTCATATCTTGACCGAAAGTGCAAGTGGCAGGTTTATTGTTGAAGGTTGGTGAAGTCCAGAAAATTTATTGTTAGCACGTATACCCATGAGCACACATGTGGGTTGGGACATATTTAAGACAAGCACACACATACATGTTATGGACAATTTGTCAAAAGTCAGTTTGTTGAAAGGAAACGTCCATCTCCTAAGGACATTCAGAGACTTGTGTACATAGAGTTGGGATGCGATGTTAGTTATTAGAAATATTGGAAAGGGAGACAACATGCACAAGATTTTTTGAGGAACACGCTAGAGCACGGGTACGTAGTATTAGAAGCGTACCATTATATGCTTGAGTTGACAAACCAATGCAAGACGACTTTGAAGTGGGACATGAATATGAGGTTTAAATATTTTTTTGTTACTTATGGTGCTGCTATAAGGGGTTTTATAAACATGAAAAAGGTGTTAGCTGTTGATGGTTGCTTTTTGATTGGAAATTATGGAGGTACATTATTGGTGACCATTACACAGGACTGCGAGAATCACACATATCCCCTTGCACGGTGTGTGGTTGACTTTGAGAACGACAAGTTGTGGACTTGGTTTTTTAAGCAATTACTTACGATAGTGCCTGATAGTGATGAGTTGTGCATAATATCCGATAGGCACAACTCTATAAAGAAAGGGATTGCCACTATTTACCCTTAAGCACATCACAGATTCTAGGCACCTTGGCGAGAACATAAAACAAAAGTTTAAGTGTGTTGGCCTCCTTTAGACATACTACGTCGCAGCAAAAGCTTAACGAGTTGATGAGTTCGAGGAGCACTTTTGACAAATCCAAATCAAGGATGATAGAGTTGTTAAGTATCTTAAGCATGATGTTGGTTTCGAGCGATAGAGTAGAGCTTACTTTCTTGGAAGAAGGTTCGATGTCATGACCTCGAACATAGCCAAGTCCATAAATTCGAAGTTGTTAATAGAAAGAGAGATTCCAATTGTTTCCCTTTTTTATGCAATCCAGAGGACATTGTCATGGTGGTTCCATGAGCGTCATACGGAGTCAAATAATTTTACCACAATCCTTGTTTTATTAGCTAAAAAATTATTGCAAGAATGTATGGAACTGTCAAATGTACTATTTGCCTATCCTCTCAATGCTCAAGAGTTCTCCATGCACGACTATGGTTTGGATGCTCTAGTTAACCTTCTTAGTAAAACTTGCAGCTGTAAAGTGCTTGACATTCAACGTTTACCTTACCTCATGCACTAGCAGCACCGAAACACCAACACAAGCCAGATTTTGGTTCAAAAATTTACATGGAACTTTGCTCCCCTCTCTATATGGCAAACCACTACATGTTGGCTTATTTAGAAACGATATATCCAGTTCCTCCAGAAGAGTAGTGGGTGGAGCCGCCAGAGTTGGTTGACATTATCATTCATTCGCCATTCAAGAAGACAGAAAATGGGAGAAAAAGAGTTAAGCATGTTCCATCTACCTATGAGGTTCCTTAGAGGATGAATAAGTGCTTAATCTGTAGCAACCTGGCCACAAGAAAAGCAATTGCCAGAATCGATCACATACAGATCAAGAAAATTAGATTCGAATCAATTAGAAGCAACAAGCAAGCAACCTGCCGTTAGATCGCTTAAGCGATTAGCTGTTATCTACATATCTAAATAGCAAATCACTTAAGCGGCCAAAGATTGCTTAAGCGGCCAAAGATTGCTTAAGCGATCTGCTGCTCAGATCAGATCTGGTGAACACCAGATTGCTTAAGCTACAGAATATTGTTTAAGTGATTTGTTGCTCATCAAATCTGGTGAACAGTAGATTGCTTAAGCGATCTGATGAACTTATTATATTTCTCTTGGCTGTATGCCAATCTTTTGTAGTTCATTAAATTGGTTTTATGTTATTGTATTTCCAGCTTTGCCATCAAGAAGAATGATGAAATCGACAGAGTTGTCGAGGCTAACCGTTGAAGACTTATTAGTGAATCAAGAAAGTTGTCAAGGCCAGTCGTTGAAGACTTGTTGTTTTCAATTTAATTGTTACCTTGAATAAATCATCTTTTATATTGTATTACATAAAATTAATTATTTTTCATTTTCATCCATTTAAAAAAGGGTTTAAGTAAAATTTCTCATATTACCTCTATAAGGCACTGACTGTTGCCTAAAAAGTAAGACAAACAAAACAAATATTATCAAAATAATTATCGTGTCAAATCAATCAATTTACTAAATTAGTCACGAGTGAGCTGTAAAAAGCAGCACCAAGCCCAAGCTTACTGCAATTTTCAGTTTCATTTGAACTTTTTGACTAAAGTAAATCTTCAAAAAGCTTTTTAATATTTTATAGAAGGTTTTATGACAATTTTTAAAGGGGTTTTTATAATTTAATAGAGGTATCATGCTTCTAAGATCATTGGGGCATTTGTACAGGATCACTTAAGCGAAAGCTGACATCGCTTAAGCGATCTTGAATTTGAGATGGAATAATCAAGTACAAAGACAGTGGCTTTGGTCGCTTAAGCAACGTAGTCTATCGCTTAAGCAATCTTGACTTATCTGTACAGGATCGCTTAAGCGATAGATGACATCACTTAAACGATCTCTTGAATTTGAGAAGGAGCAATCAAATACAAAGAAAATGGCTTTGGTCGCTTAAGCGACATAGTCTATCGCTTAAGTGATCCCGGCTTATCGGTATAGGATCCCTTAAGCGAGAGATGACATCACTTAAGCGATCTTGAATTTGAGAAAAAACAGTCAAGTATAAAGAAAATGGCTTTGGTCGCTTAAGCGATCACAACTTATTTGTACAGGATCGCTTAAGCGATCTTGAATTTGAAAAGGAACAGTCAAGTACAAAGAAAATTGTCTTGTTGCTTAAGCGATGTCGTCTATCACTTAAGCGATCATGACTTATGTGTACAAGATCGCTTAAGTGAGATCTAACATCACTTAAGCGATCAAGGCTAATTTACTTTTGTACTTAGAATAATTATTCTCAAATACACAATCGCTTAAGCAATTTTAGATCTCGCTTAAGCGATCCAATATAGATAAGCCATGATTGCTTAAGCGATAGCCTACGTCGCTTAAGCGACCAAGGCCAATTTGCTTCTTTTCTCCTCAATCTTTTGATATTGTGTACATTTGAGTGAGAAAATATATTCCGTATTATGGGTTAGCTCTATATTTAATCATAACCATCCATATTTGTGAAATGAGATACGTTTCTACTAACGTGTCACACTAGTGTGCTATGATATTCATCCATGTATCAAACGGTTGTATATCATATATCGTAGCTGTTATATTTTGATGTTGTGAATGCCCGAGGTTTAAATTAACGTTAATAATCTTCTTACATGGCCTTAATATGTGTTGATGGAATTAGATTGTCAAATAATCCTTCTTAATTAGCCTTAATATGTGTTAATAATTGATGTCACTTAAGTAATCAAGGCTAATTTGCTTATTTTCTCCCGAATCTTATGACGTTGTGAACGTCCGAAGGTAACATTAATGTTACTTACTATGGGGTTGTCAAATAATCCAAAAAAAAAAAAAAAAAAAAATGATCGCTTAAGCGATCTAGTGTATATAAGCATTCTTCGCTTAATCGATACCATAAATCGCTTAAACAACCAAGGCCAATTATTGTCAAAATCATCCTTAAGTGCACGATCGCTCAAGCGATGTCATCGCTTGCTTAAGCAATTCAATATACGTAAGTCTTCATCGCTTAAGCGATACCATACATCGCTTAAGCGATGAAGTCCAACGCAGTATAAGATCATCCTCAAGTGCACGATTGCTCAAACAATTTCAAGTCTCGCTTAAACGATCTAATATATTTAGCCTTCGTCGCTTAAGCGATACCATATATTGCTTAAGCAATGAAGTCCAAGGCAGAATCAAGATCATCCCTAAATGCACGATCACTTAAGCGATTCCAGGTCTTGCTTAAGCGATCCAGTATATTTAGCCTTCATCGCTTAAGCGATACCAAACATCGCTTAAGTGATGAAGTCCAAGGCAGAATCAAAATCATCCCTAAGTGCATAATCGCTTAAGAGATTTTGAGTCTCGCTTAAGTGATCCAGTATATTTAGCCTTCGTTGTTTAAGCGATACCATACATCGCTTAAGCGATTCAGTCAAAGGTAGAATTAAGATAATCCCAAGTGCATAATCGTTTAAGCGATTCTAGGTCTCGCTTAAACGATCCAGTATATTTAGCCTTTATCACTTAAGTGATACTAGATATCGCTTAAGCGATCAAGTCCAAAGCAGAATCAAGATCATCCTCAAGTGCATGATCGCTTAAGCAATTTTAGATCTCACTTAGGCGATCGTGCATTTTAGCCTTCGTCGCTTAAGCGATACCGTACATCACTTAAGCAAGCATGGCCAAGGCACTGTCAAAATATCCTAAAGTCCATGATCGCTTAAGTGATGTCATATCTCGCTTAAATGATCTAGTATAGGAATCACTTGATCGCTTAAGCAATATCATCCGTCGCTTAAGCGATCATGCCCAACACGTATTAATTTCATCTTTTCTCCTCAATTTGACAACCTATTTGCATCAACACATATTAATTTCATTTAACAAGATCATAAATAAACTCAAAGTCAAAAAAGGGAAAGAAATACTGAATTGCTCATTTGTAAATCTAAAATGTGTCAATTACATGAAAATACAACATTATACACAAGAAATAAATGTCCTGAAGCAACCTAAAATAACAGCAACATCGACAGCCTCCATCCCCCCTCTTTATCACTGTCTTCAACCACTTCCCCATCTTCCAAAATTATCCAGCACCCCTTCAGCATCAGCATCAGCAACAGTAGCAGCAACCTCTTCGTCTTCTTCTATAGCATTCCTTCCAACATTATCCAACTTTGGCCTTGGCAACAAAACATACATAACGTAATTTAATGCACCACAACCCAATTATCAATAGCTTGACGTCTAATAGCACCAACTAATCCAATTCAAGACAACCCAATTATCCATATAAGAAATGCAATTCACATAAACTACAAAACTCTCAGTCCAACTTTCTTACCCGTTGATAACAACATCAACAATGACTTGGGTTAGGTTCTGGTCAGTCAAAAGGTTGACAATTTCCATGGCATGCTTCACAATCCTAACAGTCATCAGCAGAATTTGTATTAATAATGAAAACAACATTATAATGAAAACAACATTAGACTTGGCCGACAACACCAGCCAATGACCCAATGATCCATGCCCACAACATCACCAACAAACACAAAATAAAAGAAGTGCTACATCAAGAATTGGTACAGATTAGTGATCACAAGCATACCTTCCGTAGTAACTAAGGGATCTATATGCCCGTGGAAGCACTCAAAGCCAAGCACTCCTGAAAGTTACTCATTGTATCGTCGTTCAAGCTATCCATTGGAGTGGTGGTCATGTCGAACTCAATAAATTTTAGTGCATATGCCTCGTAATCAACACTACAATAGGACGAAAACATTAGTATTAGAATCAGCTTATAGAACAATTGAATTATGCAAGTTTTATACAAAATTTACCTCGCGTCATTTGCCGGGATGGGAGCGCGCTTGTGTGGCCACTTTCCCGTTAATAGTTCATTATCCAAGTGTCGAAACATCCTATTGTCTTGCAACAGCTACGAGAACAATGTACACAGCCACTGCATCTCTGTGTCTAACTGCCTCTCCTAACAAATATTCAGGTTTCAATCAAGGATTTGTAGCAAGCCCTCCTCTAGTAGCCAAACGACGGTTATCCAATTCATATCCTTGATTTTCATAATGTAGTATACTCTTTTCATGTTTGCCTAATTGTTGCCATATTTGGGCCTTTCCCCCCGTACATACTGCATCATCCTCTCATCAAAACGAAAATCAGCAAGGACACTGTCAAACTCCTTTGCAGCCATTCTTTTCTGCTTGCCCCCCCTTGTTGCACCTTCACCATTGGCCTTTTTCATTAACATCTCATATTTACTTACTAGGTTTTGGCCAAAGGACACATCTGTGATGGCATACTGCAGATACAAAATATCACCATTAGTGCTATGTCGCAACCTTATAAGTGTCAATACCTCATCAATATGATGTATCAAATCGAAACAACATGATAAATATCTATTCAAACATCATAAAACTATTTTTTCTTAAACAATCTTTTTTCTTTTTTTAACATATCGCTTAAGTGATCTGTTAAAACAAAACAAATTGTTTAAGCGACCTCCTAAAAAAAAAAAAAATAGATCGCTTAAACGATTCAGTATACAATACATCATGGAACACATAAGTAAAAATACAGGAAAATAACTCACTGAGTCGTCGAGCCATGTAATAACTTCTTTCTTAACTAGTATACTAGGAAATTATACTATGAAAAACATATGTACATATCATATGAAAAATAATGGGCCCAAATTTTTTTCTTTATTTAACATATAGTTCCTATAAAATATTATTCTGTACATAGCAAAATAAAATATACAAGAACTTTGATAATGGTGAATAGTAATGCCATGTCTCTCCGCTTCTCGACGTCCATCCGACTGTTTCTCACCTATTTCCTGTAAAATAAGGAGAAACAACGGGGTGAGCACTAATGGCTCAATAAGTAAATCCTTTACTCTGACATCCCCACAACTTACTCGTGAGTTCTTTCTTTACTCTATTCTTTTTCTTCTTCATTCTCACTTGTTCTCTCTTTTTTTTTTTATTGTTTTTACTTCTCACAGTTCTTCCATTCTAACTTTCTTTGTTCTTTCTTTCTATTTCTCTCTATTCTTTTTTATTCTCACCATTCTTTCTTTCTTATTCTCACTAACCATGATGGAAATCATGGTAACATGCATGGATGAGATGCACATGCGGTAATTCAAAGAAATGCATTTTTTTTTCTTCTGTTCTTTTTCTTTTTCTTATTCTGTTTCTTTTCTTTCTTGCTCTCTCTTTTCTTTTATTTCTTTTCTTTTCTTGCTTGCTCATGCTTTCTCATTCTTATTCTTCTTCTTTCCCATTCTTTATTATTCTTTGCCGATCGGACTCGATTGATGCATGATTCGGAACCCTGGCCGTGTGAGTGAGTACAGTCCTCATCTACATACACTCTTGTGGACTGTACAAATCTTTCTTCTTCTTAGGCCACTCAATTAAGGTGGCGTACATGTAGGAACTTCTTCTTGGTACAACCCTCATCCACATACACTCTTACGGGCTGTACAAATTCTTCTTCTTCTTAGGCCGTTCACTTAAGGCGGTGTGTATGTGGGAATTTCTTCTTCTTGTCACCCGCGGGTTCTTCATCGCAATAACCTGTTCTTTTTTCTTCTTTAGCACTTTTCTTTCTTTCTTTCTCTTTATTCTTAAAATTCTTTATTCTTTCTTTAAAGTCTTATACATATGCAAATATATGCATGTGGATGGCTCATGCTTATAATTCTTTCTAAGTGCAAACAAGTAATGCAAATATGTAATGTTGCACAAAGTAAGGTTATCTCTACTCATACATGCACTTCTCTTAGGCATTTCATCAAACAACATGCATGCATACCCAAATACTATCTTTAGTAAATTTCTACTTCTTTCTTCAACCATCCATTCTTGGAGTAAAACTCCTCTATAATAAAGTTAAACCTTGTCAGGAAACACACTTCAAATATTCTACTCAAATTCTTTCTAAATTCAACCAAACTACACTTGGTCACCATAATATCAACTCCACTTCTCATGGCTTAAATCAACTCATAAAAAGCCATCTACTCATCAAAACATCATTCTCAATAATCAATCTCAAAATTATAAGCATATACATGCATATAAAATCTCTACACAAATTGATTACTTGAAGCTTAGCTTGGGTTGGATTTACTTACCATGTGCTTGAGTAAGTCCACAAGAATCCCTCTATCTTTGGTAGACTTGTTCTTTCTCTCAAACCCTAAGCATAAACTTTATAACAATTCAACACTTACACAAATCAATCTCATATTTATAACAAGAATCCTTACATTTTGATGCTTAGGATCAAATCTCTATCAAAATCCAACAAAAAGACCTTAAATCTTCCTTGGGAATTTGATGAAAAGATGAGAGAAATGGAGAGTGGAAGTGGTCTATGGGGTGTAAAGAATGGGAGGGTTTGTAAAAATAAACCCTTACTATCTCATATAAATACACATTCTTTCCCATTTTGCCCTTACACTTTCTTGAAAATTCCATCTTTGTACTTTAATTCTTTACAAATACACCCCCACTTCCAATGCATTCTCTATGAAATTTTTTACTTTTCACTCCCCACTTTTCCTGCTAATTAGGTGTAGAATGGTCACTTTATCCCTATGGAAAAATACTCTAGAAACTTCCCAAGAAATTCAGCCAGCTCTTCGCCCCAATGAAAAATTACAGAGCGTACGTTGCCGCGACTAGGCTTATTCTTCGCCCCGGTGAAGTCTATTATTCTCTAATTTCGCCAATCCTTCACCAAATTCAGGGCAACCAAGCATTATTCACAATATACAAACTTAACCAAGGACAAACGAACAACATTAAGGGCCAATAAGCATATATAAATGACATACCTCAAAGTGGGCGTTACAAGCCATATTCCCATTGTCAACATCTTTTTAAACCACTCCTAGGGATAATCCCCGGTCTTGCACTTCACACAACCATCACTTCCTTTCTCATTGTAATAGGCATAGAATAGTTTTTTCTTTTCCTTATCTATTGACTTGTACAAATCAACCTTTAACTCCTCTATTTTCACTTTCCCACTTCCTCTTCACCCTCCTTCCTTTTCACTATCCCACTTCCTCCGCCTTCCTCCTCACCCTCTTCCATTCTCACTTCCCCACCTCCTCTGCCTTCCTCCTTACCCTTTGCCATTTTCACTTCTCCACTTTCATGGACTTCCTCATTTTTTTCTTCGTTCTCTTCTTCTTTCCATACGTTACTGCCATGTAAGGAGATATTACGTGCTTACTCTTTCGGCTCTCTCTTCTATGTTGAGGTTGCACTTCAACCACTTTTAATACCCTATCAACTTTCTCCTCCACCCTTTTCATCAAGTATTCTATCTTCTCAAACCTCTCATAAACAACGGTTATAAAACTATCAAAGAGACTGTTTACGAGGTCAACCACCTTATTCTCCTGACGCCTCAGGAAATCGGTACTTGCTGCACCAGTTTGTCAATTGGGTAGAGGCGTACGAACCTCTTTTTCCTCTCCTTCTTGCTGATTGAAGCTTCATCCTCCTCGGCCTCAAACACATACTCAAGTAGTGGCCTTGTAGCTGCATTCAAATGCATGACCCCCCTTCTAGGTCCTGCATTAGGCGGTCTATCCCCTCATCTGTTACATTGTCCAGTGGCACGAATGATGTAACATACTCCGCTCCTAATTCACCCTTGGTAGGGGTGAGGAAGGGATGGATGACTCCCTGCAATAAGAAAAAAATCAATCAAATTTAAGTCACATTTAAAAACAAGTACATATTCAAAAGATTAATCATTTAATCTTACTTGAGCCGTTTGAATTTCCATTTTTATTTTGTCATAGTCCTAATGGGCACACACTTCTTGATGTGCCACTCAACATCCTAGGAAATTGCGGTGGCTCATCCAAAGTCTCCTTGCCCCCTCCCCCCCTCCAGGACAAGGACGACCTCATACATCCAAGCCAACATTTAAAAAAAATAGTACATATCATAATTAAAACACATATAATACAAAAAATATAACAAAAAACTATTAATATTTACCTGCATTACCTATGGGAAGCCAAACAAATTGTAAGTGCTCGGTCTCTCATTCTCGACATATTGGCGGTGCTTTATCTCCGTGTCTTTTCTGCACAGAGACTCAATGGTTAGCTAAAATGATAACCTTCTCCACGAATAAGCATTAAAGAACTCTTGGTTGCTTGCAAACCACACCCAATCCATATTAATGGCTTTTGTTGAGTCACAAGCCATTAGGATGAAATGCAAGAACCATACGAGACACATCTTAAACTTCTCTGAAGAGGTATACCCATCTTTTCCTAACCTCTCATCTAAATCACGTATCGTAAAACCTTTCTAACAAAGTTTTCAACTGCCATACTCTTCTTTGTTCTCTCTTCCTCTTCCGCTTATGGAAATGCCCCACATCTTAGGCCTATCATCAAGGAAAATTCTATCATCCCAAAACGTAGTGGCTTCCCATCCACCATGAGCCACATTTTTTTTTTTTTTTTTTTTTTTTTTTTTTTAACTGAGTGCAGCAACATACAATGTGTTGCCTGTCCCCAGAACGCCTTATTCAATTGTCTTTTATGTCCACAAAATGACCAAAACAACTATCTTTGAATTGGTCCATACCTTTCTTTTGTTCACCTAAAATCTCCTTTATTCTCATAAACACTTGCCAACTCAACCTAATCATCACCCTTATGGGGAAGTATGGTATCCTATCGATTACAACCTCCAACACATAGTCTTTATAATTTATGCTTCGGAAACACTGCACAATGAATATAAACTAAACATTAGTAAAAAAAGAAACCAAAACAACCAATAGGCTGTCAATCTGGGGGATATAGGCTTTGAAGGCATCCGGGAGTGGGTATTTTTAGCTTTGAGAGGACCAGGGAAGCCAATGCAGGCCCTACAGAGGCTATTGTGGCAAGTTTGATGGCTAGAGATGGTTGGAGATGGCAGGAAGGGCTGGAATTTTATTTTGGGGAGGGGGCGGCTGGGAGCGGCCCTACATATTGTAAGGCTAGTCACGCACAAAGCCCCTTATTCCACCCCCTCCTGCCATCCCTAGCTCTCCAACCTCCCACAAACAACCTCCTTACCGCTTCCCTCGCCTTCCCCCATCCTCTGGAACCCAAACAAAGGCACTCCCCCGATGCTCGCCAATTGCTCGACAAAATGCCACAACCACTGTAACAATCAAAACCAACTAAATATCCCCCAAATTTGTACCAACAAATAGTTTTTTCATCAAATGGTGAGAAATGTACCTTTTCTTCATCTTCTTCCTCTCCTCGCCTGAATTTGCGCTAACGTCCTCCTCTCCAAAACCATTTTCGGATTTTGCTGACTGTTCTTGTGTCGTTGTCATGTCCTCTGTCGTTGGACCACCTTCACTCATCAGAAGATCCACCGAAGCGCCTTCTTTGACAATCTTTGGATAGCCACCGCCGTCAGACTCTAAAATTTGGAGTGGGGTTGGGTTTTCCTCCGATTTGTTAATGTTAGCCATGGATTTTTGTGTAACTAATAAGGAAACGAAGATTAAACAGCAAATATTTGTCAGAAATCGGGAACTTAAATCACTGAAAATCGCAAAGATAGGGAGTTTTCATCGGTCGCTTTTCTTAGGTGGCCTCCTTCGATTAATAGATTTTGAATTGAGGTTTCGTCTTTTAATTTTCAAAATTTAAACGAATTTCAACTAATTAGACTATTAGTCATATACATTGCAATCATTTTACTCTAGCCTCTTTTGCATGTTTAGTTACACTTAAAGTGTGCCAGTCAGATTTTTAGAACAAAAAAAAAAAAAAAAAAAAAAAATCAAAAACCTTTTCAAGGTTATTTTCTTGAAACTTGAGAAGGCATTTCAGTTAAGTTTCCTCGTATAACACAAACGAACCCTTTTTCATTCTCACTCACAGCCGCCTCATTTACTCGTTTCTTTCACTCAGGTGGCTGATTGATTTGAGCTGCTAAGATTCATTAGATACTGATACTCATGTCTCTACTCGAGTTATGGGAACTTTTGGTAACATTTTGTTTCATTTGTAATAACTACTTGCTAGCATTCACCAAATAAATTACTTATATTGTCTTGAACCAATCCTCTCTGTCACCTCTCACGAACATCACAAAATGCAGTTACTTGCTCCGGGTAGCTGCATCTGGGAAGCTCACTGAAAATCAGTTTCTCTTTGGGGTTCTGCTACTGGAGTTGATTATGGGCTTCGGCCTTTCAGAAATCCTTCCTTTGAGATGATAGCATGGTTGACTGGGTATGTATTCTTAAATGAGCTCCAGTTGTTTAACAGGACTAAATCTATTTTGTGCAGGTCCTCTAGGAAATTCGTGGTCATAGATAGTGGAGAAATATTAAGGGGACAAGTCACTTATAAAACTTGGAAAATAATTAATAGTTGTGGCAGTGTTTTATGCTGTTCATTACAGGATTTTGCTGATTCATTACTTTCAGGTCCATGATCAGTGGATAAATTTAGGTATGGCCTGTTAAGGCAAAATAGTATGAACTTTTGCAGAAAGAGATTGAGTTTCCAACTGCATGTAACTCTGATAAGCACATGCAATTTTCACTCTAGATAAAACCTTTGATGTCTTCTATGCATTGGAGCCTTGATAATTATTTGTAGATGCTGTATTTCTATATGTACTAGGATAAAATCTTGTACAAACAATGAAGTGAACCTTTTCTACATATCCATGGAACTGGGGGCTTTTGTCTCTAGTTGTAAAAGTTATTCAGGAAAAATTACTGAAACCATTATGATTTTAGGCAAAACCTTTGTCGCTCAAGCTTTGGAAGAGGGCAACTTTGGGCCTCTTGTTGACCAAAGTTGAAGGAGTATGACTCCACTGAATGGCTCGAATGGTTGCTTGTGCTGCTGCTTCTGTACGTCATTCAGCAAGGCGTCGTCCACGAATGAGCCAGGTACTTTCACAAACTGCTTTAGCTCTAATTAAATAAGTTTCTCAAGTTCTCTCAGTATAATCAAGTTATTTTTCATTTGTTACAAGTAACCAATTCTTTCAGTCTCAATCTATTTCAAAGTGGCAAGTTAACAAAATAATCAATATTTGATTCCAATGACCAGTAGTTTGACAAATTGATTTCATTAAAACAAAACTGATTTTGGAATTGATCGGAATATTGAACCCTATGCTGTCCTGTGACCCCTTTGCAACTCCCATAGAGCAGATAGTTCGAGCATTGGAAGGAAATATGCCTTTGGAAGATCTGAATGACGGAATCACACGGGACACAGCTCTGTATATGGTTCATATGGAAGCTTAGAATATAACTCAATTAAATACAGGAGGACAGAAGAAATCCAGGAAGGCGCACACTAGAAATATAGACCTGGGTAGATGAATCAGTGGCAGACGAGCGATGACGGTCCAAACCAATCTGTTCAAGTACTGAAGGCCAGCAAACTACCCAAGAGATGAACCGCAGAAAGCAGAGAAAAGCACCAAGTTTGCTAATCAAGCTCTTGACGGCTCTTAGCTTGGTAAATTCATTTTTACTGGTCCCCTCCCATTTGCATTGTTTGCGACATTTAATCCCACATATGAGAAAGTCTGAACCAATAACAAAATTGAGACATGTCTTCCATTGATTGGTGCAGGCATAAAATGGAAAAGGAAGAAAATATCAGGTTGGACAAGAGAACACCACTTTTTCACACGATATAAAGTTTTTTACCCGAACAACTCGCTGAAATTGAATAGCTCAAACGATTCGATAGGGAAAATTCATTGTCTTGATTCGCAAATCCCAATTGACGCAGGCAGTGTGGCATTTTGCGCTCTGAAATGAATAGTTGGAGAATGGGGAAAAGGCATTTTAAGTAGATAATGCTATATTATTTGTATGAATAGAATGTAAAACTGGATTAGTTCCGTGATGAGCAATATATAAATGTGATAGAGATGATTATCTTCAGACAAATTAATGTTGTAATGTATTACATTACATATGTAATTGTTTATGTATTATTGAAAAAAAAACAAAAAAAAAAAAAGCTAGTTTATCGAGGGATGCAATGATTTATTATATATCAATACATCATTTTAAATTTACATGTATGATATGTGAATATAAAATTATAAAAATACTTACATAT